AGCGTGCAATAAGACCTAAATACTTCAGAGAAAATGTACATTAAGTTACCACTTATCTTCAAAAAATACTGTTCTCACGCGCATTAAAGTGACACTGTAAACTGCAATGGTGACATTGGTCAGAAAATATTTCCGAAATAATGCTTATAGCTAACATAAGAGCTAGGATTTGAGTTCTTGGTTGGTAAGTGAAATCGCTCTCTACAACAGGTGCAATGTGTCATTTTCGATGACCATGCACGGCAGTATATTTGTGAATAAAAGAGACCAAATATACTGCATTGCCGAAGGTGCTTTTACTGTCATAGTTTTAAAAAAGTGTATCGCAGTTAGTAAAGCGCGAAAGGCTTTTCGCATTTTAAAGAACAAAAGGTTTAAATTTCCTTTGGTGTCGGCCCCCTTTGTGTCAGAGAATCAGCACATTTATGAGTCTTTGATATTCAACAAAGTGTGCAATGTCTCTACTGTAGGGGAGGTTTATTTTTTGAAATTTAAATGGACACAAATGGTATTCTAATTGAGTTTAAAATTGGACATCATCTGCTTGATTACTGTTCGCTCGCGAAAACTGCATGTGTGTATGCCAGTTCGAAAACTGGGAAAGTTCATCCCGTGAGAATGCGAGAAATCAATCAATGTTAAGCGTTTAAGAGTTTCTGCAAAAGGGTAATGCAGCGTAAGTCGCTTCATTCAGATATCTCAGATGCTGTTCACTTGCCAGACGTAAGCACTTGCGTCGAGAAAATGGTTTTTTCGAGAATTTCACCCAAACTGGTGTAATGCCAGTCAGCAGTCATTTCTAATGACTCAGCATTGCAACTGAAAGGAATCCGCGGATGAGATTTCTTCAGCATCATTTTATCAATTATCACGGGTTCAGGCTATAAAGAATAGTTGAAAAGGAATTATATACCAACTTTTTCATCTTTGAAGAACATTCTAATAAATAAGTGATTAACAGTATTCATAAAAATGCTCATAGTAGGTTTGGAAACACCTTTCTTTATGATGAGGAAGATTGTGCAACGTGACATCTTCTAAGGAGGTGGTTGCACTCTTTTTTGATAAACAAGCACAAAGGCAAGAGATTCACATTAAAAAGTAAACTATATAGCAAATGACTTTTATCAATGCTCCAACAGGAAAATATACGAATAAATTTGGTCTTAAGTTCCGTTAAATACCATTCGGTAACATACATACATGTACCTATCAGGGTTAGTGGTACGTACTGATAAGCAAAATGACCTTTGAATTGAAATCTTTGGAATCGTAGAATTCGATCAAATACTCAAATGTCTTTTCAGGAATAAACCCGGAGTGCGATCTTAAATTGAGTGTTCTGTCACTAAACTAGCTCCAATATGCTCCCATACATGCGAATAACTACTGCTTCTTTATCCTTGACCCATGCCAGCAACCAGATTTGGGCTAGATTGCTTCCATCAGTATTGTAAGTAGGCCGTCACCAACTTGAAAGTTGGAGAGCTAAAATGAAATTTCTAAAAATAAGTAATCATTTTGTTAATGTATGCATATCAGAGAAAAATTAACTCAACTCCTCCTCAGGCGCGCCCAGATTAGAAGAGAGAGCCAGACCGGAGATGAAATGTCCTGCTAATGTAAGTTTATATGTATACTTCTGATTGTTCTTAAAGTATATTAAGTAACTGCCACTTAGATATCTTATTCTTTTAAAATAACGACTGGAACACACCGGGCGTTTGCTTTTTCCCAAGAATACGCAAAATGCCTTTGGATACCTGACTGGTAGTGCTTCGGAATTATTTAATAAAATGTATATTGACGGCTCTCACAGAAACATAATAGTCAAATCCTCTCTAGCATTCACGAAATGATCAACTAAGGGATCTTTAGCGAGTAGCAGTAAATCACGCATTTTTATAGTTACACATTTTTTTTAAATGGGTGTTAATTAAGGTCTTTTTAAGCAAATAAATAATGCAGCACTTCACAGACTCACCCCCTCAACGGAAAACTGCTCTAGTTCCAGGTGTGTAACGTTGTGCACGACAACACTGGTATAGCCGTAGTCATCTGACTGGAAGGCCGACCAAGGTTGGGGATTAGGCACGAAGGGATCCTCGCCCTCCTTGCAGCCAGCTGATCCGCTCACAATGTGCACCGGCGCAGTAGGATTGTCGTAGGGGTCTTGTGCGGATGCATTACAGACCTTCAAAAGAAGAAGTTTCGATGTTTCAGATCAACAGGACCCAACAACTCTTATGCGGACTCTACATCAAAGACTGGCGCTTAGGAACGTGAATGCGCTCACCCAAGGCTAGCTGGTATGTTTAAAAACAATTTCTGTGTGAAACGGTTGTTTTCGAAACTTTGTTTTTTAAACTCAGTAACTTCCACGTACAATTTTTCTGTCGTTTTCTGAAGAAATATTCGCAAATTTATATGTAAATGTCCACTTAAATTATTAAGCGACGTTATTTTTTCTGCATCTGCAAGGCTCTGAGGGCTACGCCGACTATAACTAAACTGTATTCTGCTTCTAAATTGAAACCCGTGGGATTTTAAACAGTTCTTGGATTAAAGTGACATGTATGCATGCCGTGAGTTGGTCCTAATATGCTTCCATTTTATTACATTACTGATATGGCATGATTGGCGGAACAAGGACGGCATAGATATAAGCTTCACAAAATATGCGTATCCTGAGAAGGATAAAATCATTTATAGGTAAATAAATAATTAGTTTTCAAACAAGCGTATACAGCAGAACTTACTGATGTCAAGCGACTTTGTGACAGCTTCTCAAATGCAAACGACTGTTCAGCTGGCTTTTCAAACAAGAAGATCTAGTACCACGGTCCTCAATTACTAAGCATCTGCTAGATAGCGGTTATTCTGCCGAAGTCAAGACACCTTTTCAATTCCTTGTTCAGGCATGAACAAATCGGACCCGGCACTATTTGAAAGCTGCCTACATATGGCGGGTGAATCCCGACCTATGCAAACAGCTTGAACATGTTGTCAACTTCCAATAACCCTGATTATTGGGCACTTATTTTTAAGCCCCACGTGATTTTCGTTAACTTCCCTCGCTTCCACTTTCCCTCCTGTACGTTGATTTAATGCAGTGTCCTTTATCTGATCATTATTCCCACTGATCTATGATCCTTGCTGTTACGTCATGTCATTCTATAAAATTTCAAACAGTTGTATGTTCTATTCGCTATCAAACCCATGCAACTAGAGGATGCAGTAGAGAAGCTGTCACGAAATTTATTGACGTCCATGAATCTTGTTTTCTATGCTTTGTAAATTTGTACCGGAGAAGAAATCCTTCAAAAATAAGCAATCAGCGGCCGTAGCTTTATATTCTTAATAAAAAATAGTAGAGCAATCGACCATCTAACTTTTCAAAATTCAAATGGTTTTTAAATTTATCGGGAAGATTTCCGATTCTTGCTTGTGATATTCTTGCTGATGAGGTGCCTCCAAACGTAGTAAGTCACTACAGCGGTAAACCGTGATTCTATTAGTTTAGTAACTGTTTGAATTTTAGAAGGCAGTCATTTTTGCTAGAGTAATTATGTATTTAAGTCACGTCTGATTTATTTCCCTAGATTCGCTTTATCTTACCTTCCAGGTACATAATGCTAGATGGATGGAAAATCAAAGAAAAGCCTACTTCCAGGTTGATTGAGTGAGCCTATGGAAAGAACGGTCAACGTTTGTTCGTCCAGTGCTAGTGTTACCATGGCCTTGGATGGCCAACACTAAAAATAACACCAACTCACCCGAGGTGCATCCTACTCAAAAATTCCTATTTTCCGTTATCGGTGAGACACACCAGAAAAGTCTCCTCTCCGCGCTGAGGCACAGACATGATCTCCTTAAACTGTGAGAAGCTAAGCTTCTGAATTATTAATCGGTTGATCCAGC